CATTTTATGTATAGTTGTCCTTTGTTATGTATTCCTCCAGTCAAGAAAAATGTTCAGCCAGGCTTAGCAAACCAGATTCACACTGCATAGGAAAGCACAAGAATTGATCATTTTAGACTAGGATAAAAAGCAATTGAATAACTTGGTAAAAGAAAATTAATTTGAACAATATTTTGCAAAACTCAGCGTGCATCAGAGATTAGCTCCAGAGATTCTGATTCAATACGTCTAGTATAGACCCAAGGGATTTGGGATTATTTTGATCTCTTAATAGCAACTTTGAGGATATGATAGGTGGCACAAGTTACCAATAAAGAGAGAACAAAATTAACTTTATCCATCCATGTTATCTCAATACTATTTTTTGCATAAATCTAGAGAAATAAATTGAATAAGTGAAACTGACTGAAAATGATCACTGTTTAGTGTCTACAGACCTGCTCAAAACCTAGAGTCAGTGCTTCCTTTTCTATAATCTGAGGCAAAGACTGCATCATCGAACATTCAAGGCCGTGCAGTACAACTGTGCTGCGTTATACAACACAAGATGTATGGAAATCAATTTACAAAAGATAAATTAGTGCGTGATGTTTCAGATTGGAAAACAAAAAGGATTTACTTCAAGGATCCTTTATAACAAGGTCCTGTGATGCGTTTGAAATATTATTGGATTTGTACAAAACAAATTTTCACTTAGGTTTTCTGGAAGACACATATCATACAAACAAAATCTACAAATATTTGGGAAAGGGGGTAAAACCCAAGAGGTCTCTAAGTTCTAGTTGGCTGAGGCACTCTTTTGCGTTAAGGTCACTATCTTTAATAGAAAGATTATTTAATCAACTGTGGACCTTTTTATAGATGAATTTTACCCTAAATTAAAAAATGTTAAATATAAGCAGCCTCCTATCTCACAATAAAATCATAATGCAAGCCACCATGTGAGACCTTTAAAAACAACCTATCACCACCCTGGTATTTTTAAAAAATTTTTTCAAATGTTTTTTCCCCATTACAGTTGATAGTAAAATGAAGCACAATAGCTGATTGTCAATCTACTCTACTCTTGTGGGTATGCCAGAGTTTTGAAGGCATTGTTCCTGGATCCCGTGCCCTTGGCACCTCTCTAGTTGATAGCTGTGGTGAGTTGAGAAGGTAATGGAAGTAGTTGGAAGCTCTTAGTGCAAGATCAACTCCTCTGGATTCTTACTGCATAACCAACCCATCTGGACCTTGGGACTTTTTATGCGTACAAGGTTGTTATACTATTACCTAGATTGATAAACTATTAAGAGCTATGCCAGTGTAAGATGTTATTGTATCTACTCTAGAGATTTCCCATCATCTTTCCTGAGGCCAAATATCTGCCAGTCCCATTACCTCTTCATTCATGTGCTGCCATCTACCCAGCACATCTGATTTTCTTTCTTCCAGATTACTTATCATATCAGGTACCTATTTTCATGCTTTCAGTTTCTTTACTTATTTTGAATGTTTAGTTTGAGAGATGATACCTGTCTTCCAGCCAGGAACAGACAAAAACAAATATATATCTTTACTCCCATATACAGTGGTTTTATTTGAGAAAATATTTTTGCAAAAAGATTTTGCTACTTTTAAGTAGTCTGTGGAGTCAAACTGATCTGATTTCAAATCAGGATTATGTCATTTGTCTTGAATGTAAATTTGGACAAGTTTTCTTTCCTTTTAAAAATATAATTTACATTAATCTGTATGGTTTTATAGTTTTCTAGAATATTCAGGAGGAAGTAGGGATAGAGACTTGATAAAAATGAGCTGAGCAGTAAAGTATTATTTGCCTGTTGGCATATGTTTTATCATCTATACATCAGTTTGGATAAATTACATTTCATTTTTATTAGAAGGAGAATAGAGAATATTATTCTCAATTAAGACAGGTATAAGAATTCATGGTTCAAGAAGTGCTCTTGCTGAAACAAGAAAAAGGAAAAAAAATTATAAAGGTCTTCCCAGTTAGCTCTGAATTGAACATGTGTTGAACATGCATTCAGCCTTGCACTGCGGATCTGCTTTATAACTACCCGTGCAGTCTCAATGTAGATGGTCTTTGGTTTCTTGTGCTTCTCGATTTTATGTCTATACCTTGGGGCCTATATACATCCACTTCTTGGAAGTAACTGTTCTGCACATTTATAAATGATATGATATGTTAAGAAATCTGTGAGCTGCTATACTTTTTGAACAGAGTTTTAATGTGAGAGCCCAGAGTAATACGCAGAGTTCATTTAGCCCGTGTATTATAGAGAGAGAGGATCTGAGTTAAATTAGGGATGACTAAACAACATGTCAAACATTTTTTTTCATTCTTTTCACTATCTCTGGAAATTCTCTGGCTCTGATCAGAGAAAGAAGGCCTTTAGTAATTTCTTAGTCTTTCCTGAATTTTGAGAATGGTTGAACTCCACCAATTATTAGCCCTGTATTCTTGGGTGAGTCTCAACTTCTTTGAGACTAATGTGTCTTCATAGGGTCATTCTGAAGACAAAATGAGATAATTGATGTGAAATGTGTTTTGTAAACCTCAAAACACTGCATGACTTTATTGTTTGCTGCAGCTGCTGTTGTTATTGTAACCACACTGGATCAAATTCTGCATTTTTCAACTCCAAACACATCAACATTTCAGTTGTTTAAATAGGTGAGCAATAGACGGGAAGAGAGACATGGGGACAGGGTGGTTAGAAAGAGGAAATGAGAGATTATTGAAAGCTGGAAAAGATAGGTTAGAAGTAAGGATTTTAGACACAAATATATAAATTGCAAATATATGATGAAGATTCCAGAAACAATCTCCTCTAGGAGGTTTTCACTCCCTCCTCCCCATCCCCCCTGTACACCCTAGACACGGCAGAATAAAAATTAAGCAAACCAATAACCCAGCATCTTCTTTTTTTCTTGTTAAAGATCCTTTGGATTTAATTTCAAATATGAGAAATCTCAAAATTCTTCATTTATTTGGCTCTTACTGTAGTAAATCCTCAGATACACAGAGCTATGGTTCCAAGGTGACTGCTTCTATTTATAGGTGTTCACTTTAGATGAACTTAAAATGTTTAAGAAAGAAAGTGGTTTGCTTCAGGAAATCAAGGGCATACATTTGTGAGGCTCCCTGAAACCTTAAAATTTCTAAAAATCATTTATCAATTTGAAAATGTCTGGAAATAGGTATAAAGTGCTTTTTTAAGCGAATTAAAAGGTGTTTGAATCTTTGCAAGGACAACTTCTAATGAGAAAAAAATTGCAAATGACATTTTGGTTTACATAATAAATAAAATTTTCCATCCGATTTCAGACCCACAAATAATAGATTTATAATTAACCCTCTATAAATTTGCTAACTGTGCAAAGCAAAATCTCAGTGTAGAGGATTAAAAATACTCTGACAATAATACATTGCAAGGAAATTAGAAATTGAAAAAATTAAAGATTAAAATTAGATAAAAATGACAAAAATTTTTGAATAACAAATAATTTATGCAAAATATGTTACAAAATCTGGGATGCTAAATAGTTGATACAAGTGCTGTGACATTTAGTTTCATTTAAATTGGTAAGAGACTTTGCTTCTTCCAACATTTTGGTTTTTTTCTTTCTGACTGTATATTTTCAACAAAAATTTGCTTTACATTTTTAAAGTTCGTTCTTCTTGAAGCTGCTTTTAAATTTGCCGTGATAAATCTGCATAAAACTATACTTTTGCAGATATAATTTCTTTTGAAGAAATAAAAATTAAAAGTTTGACATTGATTTTTACAAATTCTTTTCTTCACTGCTTTTGATGGTGTTTGACTCCTGTTAGATTGACATATTCTCAACCTATTTTTGATGTCATGAATATAAAATGGCAACATAAAAAAGTGCTCCTCCTAGTGCAACAGCAATTGAAACTTGTAGTTTTATATTAAAAATACACACAGAAGAATGTGTGAATACCATAGATAAAATAACAATATTGTCAAACAATAACCTGTGTCAAGCAAACAACAGAAACAAGTTGATTATTTCAGCCTCTGAAAAGTCAGGTTTTCATTATTTGATTTGAATTAACTTTACAATACAACTGCATAATAATATATGATCTAGGGTGGTTTCAAATTACTCGGTTATTTTTCAGATAATTTGAAGGTGAATCTCATCATAGATGACAATATGAACAATTTAGAACATATTAAAGATGTTTACAGTCTACTTGAGTGACAAAATTCTCCACCATGGCTCATATCTATATTGAATGAGCTGTAGCTGTTTAGAGTTCTCCCTAGGAGAGAATCGATGTAGCATACAAAGCAAAAAATTTCATATATTTCCTTTGAGATGTTCCCAAAATATAGCCTCACGGTTCTAAATGAGAAGTTGTCTTAAAAACCAGGCACATTTTGCACTGACTGATGGTTATTTTTAGGTAAACCACTTTGGGTTAATTAGGAGAAAAATTGCTACTGTACAATTATCATGCTCTATCCTCCCACCTTGGCCTGAAAATAATGAGATGTAACAAGTTTTTCTTTGTCACTGGCAGCTGCACCTTTTAAGTGTATCAAAGTCTGTTGCTGTGGTTACAGCCTTTGTTTCCAGTGATGTTTTGTCCATGCTTCCCCCCACCCTTAACAATGGGTTACTCAAAAGAATGAAATAATGAGTCATTCATTCGGAAATATGTTGTTAAAATATCCCTCTTTATCATTACATTTCACTGCTTAGAAACTAGGCTGTAATTCAAGGCAACAGTTAAGTCTGATTGGTTAATGTATTATTTCTGGAACAAGTAGATAAAATTCTACGCAGTAAGCATGGTAAAAATCGTGCATGTTTCGCACAGCACAGAATTTTAGAATCAAGGTTTCTGGGCACAAAAGCAGTAACAAAACAGTCCCTACAAAACTGAGTAACTGAATAACACAAGAAATAATTTTTGTTAATTTAAAATTTTAGAAACTGAAATGTGTAAAGTTTGTAAAGTAAAATGTAATTAAATTATGGTACTGTACATACCAGTTGTTTCTATAATTGAAACTTTACAATATGAAAAATACATTAGCTCTGTACAGTTTTTATAGGTAGGTAGGATGAGTTTTGAAAAAAAGATTCTTTTTATTTTTTCAGGGTCATACTCTAAGTCAAAAAAATACTGCACAACTTAGCTAATTACAAAGTGTAGACTTGAAACAATTCATGTCTTCTTTATTTCATGAATCAATCTTGGATTTTTGTTTATTTTAACAGGGGATTTGTTTTGTTTTGTTTTTGGAGTCCACAATGAACAAATCTTCCTCATTTTGTCCTTGAGGTTACAAAGTTTGGTGGCAACCGTTGGCTACCGATTAGCTCAGTTAAGCCAGCTGCTGTTTATGGTCACTGATTCGGCCAGCTGTTGTGATTGTGCTCAGGTCCAGCTCAGTCTCTAGGTGTGTTTCCATCGTATCTTCCTGTGCATTCGTTTCAAAGGACTTATGAGAGAGAAGTTCATGATGAACCCCACAGTAACTTATTGTGGGCTGGTCGTATGCCAGAAAGGTTGACACATTCATTGATAAAGGTATCTGGGAAAAAATGACATGAGAAAAATCAGTTATAAAAAGACAGACAACTTTGGGGGCAAGATATAGAGACTGTGAAGTGCTGACCTGACTAACCTCTATGGTTACATTTGTGGCTCAAGCGTTCCCACGTTGTCCCACTAATGTCCTTTGTTTTCATGCTAGTAAGCACAATGCAACCATTTTAAAGCCTAGAATGAAGCTGCTCAATTCTTAACTAGAACCTTCCGATAAATAGTAGCCTAAGTGCTCCTGAAAATGCTAAAAGCTTTATTAGAAAAGTCAGAAAAATGCTTTTCCTCACTGGGGTAAAATTGTGGTTTTAGAACAAAGGAAACTATCATTTGGTTATGTATGGTATTGGAATACAATACAACAGTGGTTCTCAAACTTTGTCATGCATAAAAATCACCTTCCCCTTCTTCAACTCCAGTGAGCCCGCTCTCCCCCCACCCCTAGTCCCCACACACACATCACACTTGGAGAACCACTGCGGAAGAGAATTGTCTAGGCAAGTCATTCTGGCTCTTCTTACCCAATAACTTCTTAATATTTATTTCACCATGAGGATTCTTTGAAACATTAATGTCTTTAATTTGGTCCGTATGTCTAGGATTTAGGGTTTAGAGAACTCTCAGGAAGAATCGATGGCTCCTATGAACGTCTAAAAGGCATCAAAGGATGATGCTAGTTTGAAGGAACCAGTGATATATATGATGAAGGTATTCTCTTGCTAATTGCTTAATGAAAGAAAGCAAGTTCTAAAGATATGAGAAAAAAAAAGCAAGAGTGACCATTGTGAGCAGAAGGGAAACATACATGTTATAAAACGTAGTCTGAAATGTAATCAGATGTCAAAGTCTAAAGATTATTTCCATTTTTTTCAATAAGATAAAAACGTCTCCTAAAAAGTAGGCAGATTTGAGAAACCCTCAGCCCTGATCTCTGTTTAATATACTAATCACTGATTCAAGTTGTTGAATTGCCTTGGATAAAAATTCCTACCATTCTTGTTTGGTGAATGGATGAAATATATTTCTGTTTGAGCACATCAGATTAAATTCCTTTCTGATCTCAGCTGAGATTAGAGCCTGAAGCTCAGAAAAATAGAATGTCTGGGTTTTATTCTTTTATTAACTCCTCCTTTACTTTCTTCATCCTTTTTCTCCATGCCTAAGAACCCTCTTTGCCTCTTTTCTTTCTATCCCTACCCTTCTACCCATATTTATTTCTCCTTCAAAAGAAATTGGTTGAGAAAATATCTCGTTTTTTCTTAAAGTATTCACTTCTTTTGAGATTATTATTTGTTTTTAATATGAACATTGCAGTGTATCAAATGTGTAGAGCTTAGTCCTTGGAGACAGAAACGTAATCCAGTTCATCAAATTAAATTCCTGAATAACTCTTCCTATTTATGTGGATTTTTTTTTCTTTGAAGCACGCAGTTATCTGATATGTGAATAAAAGACATCATATACTTTAAAAAATGGTCAAAGTGACTGAAAGATCATAAAGAAAATAATAGGATGTTTCCAGAGATGCTCTTTTAAAATAAGTAAGAATTCTTGTTGTTACAGATGAAATGGCTCAGGTAACTAAAATATATTATTATGCAAAAGTAAGTGTGCAGCATGAATAGATTTGAGTTATAGGACAGAATGAAAATAGAATTGTTATTAGGTACATGAGTTTTGCATTAGCCTTTGGGAAATCAATGCTCTGTAATGTGTTATGGGTCATATATCTGTAGGATTTTATATACTTGTTCTTATTTGTCATGGAAACTTATGCTTTATATATGCTATATCATTCTTGGCTTACTTGGAATTAACTCTACTGTGAATAATTTGTAATTTCTATGGTGACAATTTATGAAAAGTAATACACCATGATACATTTATTCTGTGTGTGTGTGTGTACACACAATTTTCTGCTTGATTTAATATCTAGGGGCTGCTGGTACCCAGAGTGGAAGACCTAATTTGAACCATATCAGTTAAGTAGTTAGCTCTCTTTATTTATTAAAAAATTCCATATATTTTCTTTAGAGAGTTTCTTATTTTGGGATATGTCTTATTTTAAAACATCTAACCCCATGGTTATACTTTTTCAATGTCAAGTCGTATTTTTCATATTTTAATACTTCTAAAATTGGGATAGTACTTATAATCAATGTGGATGTTTAACATGTATTTTCTTCCCTGCAATTGAAAGTGATTCTTAAAGTTGATGACATCTTAATATCAAGAAAATAATGTAGTGAGGTGAATCAGTAAGTAGAATTTAACAGCTAATGATATCCGAATACAACATCACAGTAGATTTTTCCTAGGTTGACTTAAATGATTTTAAAATCTAAGAGTTAGCATTGGGTATACTCACATGTGTATTTGTAGGAATACACAGATATATTGACATACACATAAATACACAATATATAAATATATACATAAATACACATATATGTATAATCTTATAGCCAATTACTTCTGATTTCAAAATCATTTAAATCAGGTATGGAAAATACAAATTTTTGTGATGTATTGGTTTTGGACAACTATTACATATTTGTTATGTATATAAGACATGTTATGTAGATATATCTATAGATATATTACATATATACGTATGTGTGTGTGGATATATATGTATATATGTATAGTGGCTGGGTAGTGATGGAGAGGCTATCCACTGTCATCAAACAAACACTTTGAGGCTCAGATACAATCCCTGTAAATCCCTTCTTGTCACCAAGTCAGTAAATACAGCAGCCCCTTCTCCTTCCTCTCATAACCGTCTAACGACCTTGTGCCCTTTGTTTTCTTTTCTCCTTCCAATCTGACGTTGGTGTTCTCTATTCATTGTCTCTGTTTTTGTCTCTGTCCCTTTCTCCATTTTTACCTGATTTATGTTAATATGCCAAAGCAAGAGAGGCACACAGCCATGTTTTCCCCTGTGGATAGGGTGTTCAACAGGACAGTCCCAGTTTATACTTATCATCCAATTTTGACCAATAATCCCTTAGTCAACCTACCTGAAGATGACCCCAATATGTTATTATTATTATTTCTTTCTTTTTTTTTTTTTTTGGTGAGGAAGATTGGCCCTAAGCTAACATCTGTTGCCAGTCTTCCTCTTTTTGCTTGAGGAAGATGGTCCCTGAACTAACATCTGTGCCAGTCTTCCTCTACTTTACATATGGGATGCTGCCACAGCATGGCTTGATGAGCGGTGTGTAGGTCCATGCCCGGGATCTGAACCTGCGAACACTGGGCTGCCAAAGTGGAGTCTGTGAACTCAACCACTGTACCACTGGGCCAGCCCCCCAAATATGTTATTTTATAAAATGAAAACGAACAGTGACCATAGGTACCTAACTAGCTAGTCAGAATGGTTCCAGGAAGAGCAGTGGGAGATTTAAAACTAATAAGACTCTGCTTCCCAGACCTTTTGTTAGAAGGCTCTATTTAAAGTGTCTGTAGAATCTTTTTGTCATAGCTTTCTGAGAGATAACAGTTTCTTTCAGTGTATTTTAACATGGTAAACTCCTATTTATAGTTACTTTATGATTTCCTTCAATCCTTTGTCAGTGTTTTCCAGATGAGGTAATTATTCTTAAGGCATAACTGATAGAGATCCGGGTATATGAAAACTTACTCCCCAGAAAGCAATATCATCTAGAGTCTGAGCTAAGAAATCATTACATGGTATTCTAATGATGAGAGATAGTAGCTGGCCCATTATGTGGGAAATTCCCCTTAGGAAAAATTTCGACTCTGCTAAACTACTTACTGTCTTGACATCAATGATATTTTCCTTAGCAGTAATTTTGCGGTGAGTGTCTCAGTGTCAATGATATATATCTTTCACATACGAAAATTTTATAAAGTTAGATGAATAAAAATAACTTATTATTAATGGTCTTTTCCCCATCATATATAATTTTGAGTTTGTGATTTTAAAGGGAAAGAATAGCTTTTTAAAGTTTCCAATTTGAGACTAAGTAAAAATGGTCATTTTAACCTTATATTCACTGCAAAAATAATATCTCTGTATATTTGTACAAATATATGTGTGTACATATGAACATGCATATATATTGCTCATATTCTAATTAGTTGGTTACAAGCCATTTAAACATCTCTTCTGTTGTATAGCAAGGATTATTTTAAGTACAATACTCTAAAGAACAGAAAATGTCCACTTTTGAAAGGAAATAATTAAAAAGGCTGTTTTTACCCTCTCTAGAATTGTAAAACATAGGAAATATTTTCTTGTTAAGTGTTATTTCTGAATAGAGTTCTTAGTAAGTATAAATATTTCCACTGATTATCTTTGAGCAGAATGCCCATGCTTTTCCCATATATTACAGGGAAAATCCTCCATTTTTATAAGGCCAAGTGTTATTTAGCAAGTATTCTACCTCTCTAGGTTGTTTATAGGATGATACTTCAGGGTTTTTGTAGCTATTGTTTTTCAATAATCTGTAAATAGTGAAAAAAAGGACTTGCTTTGTGAAGGAATTCATTATTTAAGATGCAGCCCTTACCACTATCAAGACATTTTTCTCTATTTTATGTTGTAATTCAGAGTCCTAATATCTAACTTTTGTTTTTCATCTACTAAACTTAATGAATTTTCAACTGAGTTTATTTCTCTCTATTAATATATAAAAGAAGGAACAGGCATTATAATATTTTTCAAACTAATAACATTTCTCTAATTTGTCTCTAAATGTGTCTCAAACAGTTTGTCATCTCTGGATCCAAACTGGCTCTTCCTCCCGTGGCCCCTATTTTGTTATGGGGAACACTTACCAAGTTAAGTCAGCTTTGTCTTAAGTCAAACTCTTCCCTGTCCCTTGTTTCAAATGTCTCTTTATTTGCCAGTTACTTTATTGACATCAGTGACATGTGTCTTTTACATGTACCTGATTCTTTCATTTCCGTTGCCACAATCTTGGCTCAAGATATCACCTTGTTTATCTTAGTGACTGCATGAGT